TTGGTACCGGTGATATTCACGTTCGAGTGATGCCTTTTCAAATCAGTGTGCAAGTTTGATGTATTGCCAGCCGCGTAACCAATTAGGGATGTCCCGATCACCTTTTTTTGCTTCCGATAATTTGATTTTGACAATTTGCCGATACCGATTTTTCCCGATCCGATNAGTTGATAGTGGATGATCTGTTCCAAATACTGCTTGAGAAGTGAAGAACATTGGTCAGCAGCTTCCTGTGATATCACTCCTTGTTCTGAGGTGAGAGAGTTGTTTCCATTAAAATCGTTCCCCTTTACAACTCTCTCACCTCAGAACAAGGAGTGATATCACAGGAAGCTGCTGACCAATGTTCTTCACTTCTCAAGCAGTATTTGGAACAGATCATCCACTATCAACTACTAGAACATATACATAGACGTGTATTCATACTCCGGACAAATGTTGGCAGTCAGGTTGCTATTTATTTGGCAGAGATGAGTTATGTAATTCCATAGGGTCCATGCTGGTTATATTATTTGAACCCGCGGAAAGAAGGATCGATGATTCATGCTGAACTCGTACAGCTCCGGTTTAGTTATACATGAAATGGCTGGAGTCTGCATTCAAATGCCTCCAGGAATGTATACACAACCAGCGGGTCTTGAATGTTAATTTTCTCTGTACAGGCTGCCTTTCATAACTTATCTGCTTTACGCCATTGGTGCAATGATAGCTTACGGGATGACTGAATACAGAGATAAAGATATGCTTGAGCAAAATTATAAATTGCTTTGATTCAACGCTGGTTGTCAGTTTGTATTCATTGTAACCATACAGCGTAAATGACATCAATCGAAATAGCTAAAACCATGTAATTTGTGGTATTTGTCCATTCAATGTGTGGACTATGCTTTACGCTTCTGTAAAACATATTTTCATTAAAATAGAAATTTGAATTATCTCATTAAATGACCAAATAAAGTTGACAATATATTGAAAAGCATTTATTTTATTAACAGCTAGTAATTTCTCACTTTTAATACTCTTGAATCTTATTTGTAAACTTATTTTTCACGTCAAGTTTGTTCACGTCATGTTGCATTATTTATAATATTTTCATCTTATTTGATTTTAGATGTTAAATTTACCAAGCTGTCCTCTGGATTCTAGTTTTCAAAAGCATGACATACATGCTGCCTGTTCTAGAAATATTGAAATATATTATAATCCTGCTTCCTTTTACCTCTTGATCTACAAAGTAGTTCCCATGGGTTTTGGGCCTTGGGGGGTTGTGAGTCATCATTCACAGATACAAGATGTTTTCACAAGTTCTGACATCTTTACATCAATCAGGATATGGAAAAGTTTCCTGAAGTGTGAGGGATTGAGCTGATGACTCACAAACAATAGGTTTAAATTTACCCAGAAAATCTGCATGCAATTTCTTTCATCAAAGAGGTCAACTTAAAGGTGGGGTAGGTAAGTTTGAGAAACCGGCTCGAGATACACTTTTTGTTATATTCAATGGAATGCTCTTAACATCTCGATAGCAATGAATATCTGAAGTGCTTTGACAAAAAATCCATAAAGAAATGTCATCTGTGGAAGCCGTAGTACTGTAAAAAGCACGACCAATCATTTTAGCCGGCCTGGCTAAAATAACTGGATGGCCTACCTGCCTGTCAGCCTTCCATCTGTGCACAAACTTATCTCGTGCCCTCATTGGTCATGTGCGCCTTCGTGTGTGTTGGAGGAGGGGCTCTGTAAGGAAGTAGCAGATTTATTCCGGCTGTGTATTTTCAAATTCTAGCCACTCGAGCTGGTTTCTCCAAAATTACCTACTCCACCTTTAACTCATACAAATATGCATAGGCCAAAGAATGTGCATTAGCTCGGTGCTGATGGGATCCAAAGACAGAAAGGGACGACAATATGAGAAACATTGGTTGACAGTTTCAATACCTTTCGTTTAAAAGAACGTCTTTGTTGTTAAATGCCTGAAAAGAATTCTGTGGTTAACACATGCTGAACAAATGTTCATGCTTTGTTCTACGACATAAATTACGCCATTATTACCCCACTTGTAAAGCTTCTGTGTCATTTGCTAACCAGTGACTAAATAAAGTGCTCAATGTCAAAGTGCCAAACATTGGCCGCCTTAATGGTGGTGATGGCTATGATGTAGTTTATAGCCTAGCGATACCTGTTTAATTTCGCTGAGTTAATTTACCCTTCAAAAATCACTAAGCTTTTTTTATGCACCGAGATACAATTGAGAAATCCCATTGCTTTTCATCAAGGGAGCCCTTTACGATGATAACTTCCAGCTATAGGCCTATATATATACCTCACCACTGCACCACTATATATTCACAGCTTTTTTCCTAGGATCAAATTATGAGTAAGTTGCATTGATTTAGTTACTATTAGTTTGCATTTCAAACAAACCCACTTTTATATCAGAGGTTTTTCTTCTAGTCTCTAAGGCCTCTGTCATGGT